TTGAAAAAAAACACTGTGTCAAGTTTATGACAGAAAACATGAAACATCACAGTTAAGTTTGACACTAAGGCATTAGCATTATACAGTGTAGGATCCTCCACTGGTGTTCTCCAGAGAGTTTGGGCAGAGGGCCCTTGTATATGAGGCTCCAAGAAAGCTGCATGATCTTAGGAACAAAGAGATGTGCTCTCTATTGAGAGTCAGCCCTTCTGTCCTCAAGAACAGCTAGGGTAATGCACAATATGAAATATATATAAACAGCACATAAGTCAGTCCACCAGATGAGGCACAGGTATAAGGTCGAGTTATTGCCCTCACACAGACAGATTGGAAACACCATACTCAGTCAGTCTTTCCTGATAGTCTATCCAGTGTACATTATGGTCAGTGCCCTCAGGCTACACCAATCTATCCTTTAAAATATCCACACTAAAGAGGTTTATCAGGTCTCAGTAAAAGGATTTCTCCAGTCCAATGTGCACATGGAACCTGAATTGCATTCATTCAGCCCTCAACAGGTTCCTCATTAGATTCCAGACATCATCATGAGATCTAGATAGATGTCTGCACATACTGCCATTTTACCTTGGAATCTCTCTTTGCTGCTGTGTGTAGAATATGTTTTACTACTAGAGATGTGATGATAAACAAATCAATGCAATTTCTGATGTTCAATAATTTCTTAAAGTCTTAAACTGTCTTGATTCTACAGAGCTCTGATTATAAACTACACAGGATGGTTCATCTTATTGAACAATTTGTAAAACACAATTTTTTTTCAGTGGCTGTTTTGCTGTCCTCTATCAAAATCAGTGCCAAAATCACATCCTCTAGAATTTATAAGTGACCTCAGATCACATAGTCACCTGGGCAAGTGTGCATGCACAGAATAAGCCCCTCCCCCTCCCCCTCCACAGTTTCTGTTACCTGGTAAATACCAGTATTTGACCAGTAAAAATTGTATTTATTAAAATGACTGCAAAAAATTATTGTACAACCACTAAATTAAATTCCTGCAGGACACAATGTCCAGCAAAAATATTCACCCAAAGTCCATGTAATCTTGTGCTGATGCGTCCCTCTGCTGTTCTGCATATGGATAGAACCTATGAGCTGCTTCCTTTTAACCGCTCCTTAGTTCAGTTATTGATGCTTTTCAAGTTCAGTCTTTGCACCAAGATATTTAGCATACGTAAATCTCCTGTTTGGATTTTATGTATGTATGTATGTATGTATATATGTTTATTTATTTATTTATTTAACTAACTATGTCTTACCACCAAAGCTTCCACAATTACTTTTTTTTTATCATAAATGCAGGTATTTTGTCAGGAATGTAGAAATACACTAAAAGAAATAATGTAGTTTAGTCTACAAGCCAAATTAACAATTCCATGCTGGGACTGGCAAAAACCAAAAATCCAAACGCATCCACAAAGCATGTGCAAAATAAATCCCAGAGCATATGCTAATTATTCATTGCAATAAAACATAGAAATGTGAGTGAGTTGCCATTCAAAATGTCGTCTTCCGGTTTAAAACTAGCTTCAAGAGAGCTGGAGGAGATAGAGTTTTTAAATTCTAACTAGACCACATGCTAACATGTTGAGAAACGTATATGCTGTTAATTTGCTAATAAACTTAATCATGGACACCTTGACCAGCACTAAAAATTCCTAACAGAAACTCCACTCAATCAATTGAGCCCCTCCAATGAAAACCATAGATTACACCCTTCTTTGAATTATTAGTTATTTTATTTTGTTTTACATTAAGGGCTGTACTACGCTTTATTTACATTTTAGTTATTTTAAATACAGGGCATCAAACATCGTCATACTATTCTTATATGACTTTTATGTTCACCTATGTGTTAATTTCATATGGTAGCAGAAGGATCCAAATATGATATTTTGTAGATACAGTGCACTCACATTCCTGACCCTTAATTATGACAAAGCAGTCTCTTTGCCAAATATGTGAGCACTAAAACCACTTCATTCTGCAATGCAGAACAACCAACACGGAAAAAGCTCTTTATAACCGTGTAAAAACACACTGTTTTGCTGGAAATGGATAAAGAGTTCATGATATGTACTATTCCAGATTTCATAGGTAGCTCAGTTGCCACAGATAACGGCAACACATTACGCCTACATTCAATTAAGCCGACTGCACTAGGGAGAGTTGTGGTTTCATGCTTCAGGAGATGATTAATTGTTGGTGTGGGATAAACAAACAGAGCCAAATAATGGAGAAAAATAATCACGCTGCTGTTGGTGGGTATGAAATCCTCAACAACAGCTTCTATCAACATGTGGTCAGTTTAAACAGCTTTCTACCAGTATGTGGTCAAAAATCTTTAAGTTCTAGCACTAGTATCCATAGGAAATAAAACAAAACAACTTGTGCAATTAGCTGATACATCCACACTGAAGAGGAAAATATAGCTTTAATATACAAGATAATATATGAGATGGCCAAACAACATGAGTTTTACTGCATTTAGAATGTGTTTAGTTGTGCACATTAAGGGCTCAGAGTATGGAGACTTGTGAACCAAACCTGACCTGGCCAAAACAAATGGCTGTTAGCCAGGTAAGCTTTGCCAGCGAGCCGCCAGAGGGAGTGCAACATCGCATCACTCTGCTGCCTAGAAAAGCCATCACCTTAAAAATAGATGACACAAATAGACCTCATGAATATCAATATGCTTGTCAGGGAAGCAGATTAGGGAAATGAGAGGCAAATTAAGCAAAGAAAAAAACTCTCTCAAGAGAGCAACGCAATGGAAACTTGTTTTGCAGTAAAATAGGATACCAGATGATTAAAATAGATGATAACTGAGTAGTGTCCTAGTAAGGATCAGCTGTAGTTTTGTTTTGCTATATTAATCTGCATCCTGTTCCCTGACTTTATACAGTAGCTGGAGTTAGAGAGTTCAGCCAAAGATTGTCCTTGTCAAAAATTAATGTAATATTTAAGATTAATGTGATAAATTACAGGTAGCAAATCTTCACCCCTAGTGTGTTCTGTTTGCCCCTGTGGATTTGTGATGGAAGTGGAATTTGTATTCTTCATTAGAGACAGACTTCCAGTAAAAAGTTCTCTCATGCAGCCAAGATCATCTATGTAGACAAGCCTCTAGAATATTATTTGTAAACAACATAATGAATGAATATATATTTATAATGAATATATTTTCATTGCACTGCTCTGTGTAAACTAAATGGAATCATGCAGAATGTGGCTGACACACAAAAACAGCTGTGTAGCGGGCTTGTGGTCGGATAGTGACCAAACATTAGTCACCAAATATGAGATCTTGTTAGTTCAACAGAAGTGGTAAATTAGCTGGCAGCAGGTGATGGAGACAGCAGATGTGCAGTACGGTCAGTTAACCCAGACGAGCTGTCAGTTTAAGTAGGATCCTCTCACAACAACAAGTTAACAAGCTAAAGTTAAAGATAAAATAAAAATCAGGTGAATGCGGTCAAAATATTCCAGCAAAAACTGAACCTTCATGCAGGCAATGACATTGTTTACTGTATGACAGCTCAGGTTATTACTGTAATATCACAGTGCTAACATTTCCTAGTTTGCATATTTGGTTACAGTACACCTAGTCTTACACCTATATACTGAAAAGGCAAGCTCTTTTTCTAACCACACCTTAAAGAGTCCATTTAACGGAAAACTTTAGTAGAATTTTAAATAATGGAGCTTGATATAGTGAATAAACACTGCAAAAGTTTAAAAACATACTGTTTAATCCCAAGCCAATGCAGACCACATATGGAAACAAGCTGCAAAAACAGCTTGTTTTATTTCTTTAATGTCACAAAAAACTGCACATTTACATATATCCACCCATTCAGCCTAAAACAGCTTAGCTCAGTTCATTCATATTTACAGTGTTTGAGTCTGGACTGCTTTCGGAAAGAAGCACAGTACAGAGCAGCCAATTAGAACAGACCATCAAAAACAGCCTGCTTTATTCCATGGAATAAAGAGATGTTGGAAAATGTACGAATGAACTATGGCTGTTAAATTAAATAAAACTACACTAAAGTTATAATTGGTCCAGCTGGGGGAAAATGTAGGACATGGATGCTTTAAGTCTGATTTCAATGTTTCAGGCCCAAGTGATACTCTGCCTGGAAATGTTTCCAGCTATTCCGAGTTCACCAGAGCGAGAGTGGGAATCGGACTGGTTCTGACCAGCACAGCCATATAAATCTGTAAACATTCACAACAAAAACCAGCATGAATAAAATTCTCATTTTATATCATTGCATATGAGTGTGCCTAACAGCTATTTCAGTATCGCAAACTGGCAGAGCAATAAACAAAAAATGACTCACCCAGAGAGGAAAAAAGGCTGTATTCTGTTCTCCATGAGTTCTGCCTCTATGAGACTTTAACAGAGTTGAGCCATTACTTTTTCGGTCTACTCTTTGAGGCAAGAAATCACTGTAGACAGATCTGATGCCATTCTATATGCATTACAACAGTCTTTGACTTTTCACTTGAATCCCAGTGGCACTGATTCTGTTGTTACAAATGTTTAACATTTACTAAGCAAGTGTAATACAAATGGATTTCAAAGCATGCCAAAGATCCTGAGATCATGAAAAGTTTCTCTCATACTAAAACTTGCTTACTGTGTTATCATTTATTATTGTACATTTCTGTGGATATCACAGAGAGCAAAAAAAGACAACGGAAGAACTTGTGATGACATGTCATTACCCCTCACCCTTGACAAACCTGTGCGGTCCCATTCGAACACTCTTCCACATCAGATCAAACTGTGTTACAAAAATAAAAACACTCTCAGACTGGCAGCACACAGCAGGGCCCAAATTGAGAGGACAGCAAAAACAATCCTAAATTAGCCCTCTCTTTTAGTCGATGGTCTGGCTGCGCCATCTCGGATGCTGCCACGCAGCAGGAGACTCATTTTAAAGTGATGAGCAGGTGGAAACAACAGCTCTTACCAGCTGAACTGAGGAGAACATGGTAGTCCGTTCCTCTCTGAACTGGAACACCATCATTTACTTCTTCTTTCTCCGATTCCTCATAACGGTCCCAGTTAGACTCCAGCTTTCTCCTGGAGTAAATATCTGGCATCTCTTCTTCAAGGTTTTCTTTATTATCCTGCTCATCTTGACCCTTCAAAAGAAAACAAGATAACATTACACAAGTCAGTCACACTAATTGTAATTGTTTATGTTTTTGTTATGGCTACTTAGTTTAGCTCTGTATGACAACAACCATGTTAATAGCACATTAACAGGGCTATTAAGGCCCTTTTCTACTTTGTAACATATTATAACGTCGAAATGTCACATAATTGAGTAGAAAAGGCACACAATAGCGCAGTCAATATAGTAGGAATACGTTTAATGTGTTACTGAACCTACTAGACTTTCAATTGCATCACCTGTCCAGCAAATCAAATTTAACTTCTAGCTATTAATAAATAACTACCTACATGTACATTACACTATTCATGCTGAAATACAGTACATTTGTGGAGATGTTGTGATCTAAAGAGTAAATATAAAATAAGTAAATACAATTGTTATAGAACACAGAAATTGTTGTAGAATCTGGTAGTACAGAGAACCAGGTAGCACAGACGCTAGTACACACAGTCGACTAGGGGCTCGTGAGAGTGTTCCAGTGAAGACTGATATGAAACCAGGATATAAACCAGGACCAGAAGCTGGTAGTAACTAGCTACATTTACTTTACATTTTAATTGTTAACATTTACTTACCAACTCATTTTCTAGGTTTAATTATATTGTTATCTTGGTGACAGCATCTATTTGAGACTTGTTATTTTAGTTTAGACTAGAGTGAATCAGAAAGAGAAGAACAGATCTTGACAGCTGCTGGATATACTAAAAAAGACCCATTGCAGGTCTCTATAGAGAGCTCTGTATGTCAGAGTTTTTTTTAACTCCTACTTAAGTTGTTTTTTGGAGAGGTAGTCATTCTTTCACTAACGTAACAACACTTATTTTGAGTGTAGGTTCAGGATACTCTACACATCATCTGCATTCTGCTAGCAGCACTGTCAGCCCTTTTAAATCAGACACGAGCCTTAAATTCACTCAGGAGCTTCAAACAGCTTCGTCAAATAAACAGCAGTAAAGGAGAGAGCTGCCATTAGTCAACCTATATGGATAATGAAGAACTGTGACAGTGTGTGCAGAAAACCGCCATCCCTCACTCTCTCACTCTCTCACCCTGTTAAAGTCTGCAGCGCCGCCGTCTCCGCCGCCTCGCCCTCTCCCACGGTAATGGTCCCTTCTTCCTCTTCCCCGGTGATGGCCACCTCTCCCGCGGCCTCTCCGCTCTCCTGGAGCCCCGGTGTCCTGCGCTCCTCCTCCGCCGCCTCTCCTCCACTGTCCGCCACGGGCTCTGCCGCCTCTGCCCTCCATGACTGATGTGGCCGAAGGCAAAGCGGCGTGGTTAGAGTGCAACACCAGAACTGTTGTCACAGGAAAAACAACCCCCAACCTAACTACAAAGAAAAGTTCCGACTGAAGAGTAGCCTGAGCTTTAGCCAACTCGAGTGCGAAAACTTTTCTCAAACATCAGAGTAAAAACTGCTTAGTTTAATTTAAAGTAGCGCTCTTTTACTTTTCAAAGCTGAAATAATGAGCGGTAAAAAAGTAAAGTAGCCTGATAAAAAATACATGATTAGTCGTACAAAAAAGAACGGGTCAAAAACTAGCTACCTACACAAATACAAGAGTTCTTAGAGCTGTATAGAAATTAAAGCATTTCTTTTCTCTTTTTTCTTGGTCTTAAATAAAATTCTAAAGCTCCAAAGTCAGAAGTGTGACTTTAGCCTGAGCTAAATGACTGAAATGTAACTGAATAAAACAGTAGCTTATTCACAGATATACCTGAGTAGAAATGTTATCATTTGAAAATAGTCAGAAAAGTACAAATCTATCATTTTTTTCTTTCGAGTACACATAACTGAATAAATGTAACTGGTTAATATTAATCTCTATCAATAACCCGTTCCTTATAAAAAAAAAAAAACATTAGAAAATATTACCAGGATGGAAACACTACAGAGAAATTATACTTAAGTGAAATTATTAAGTGTCAAATCTAACTCAATTAAAAGAGAAAAACATAAAACATGGAGCCAAAATATATATCTGTGTAAAAATTCTACATTTAAACCTATTCGAGTGTTAAAAATGAAACATTTTTTCTTCCTTTTTTAACTAATAAAGGTTTTCTTTGTTTGGTGGTGTAGCTAACACACAAAGTCACATTAGCACAGCTGTGGGCAGTTTTATTGTACAATGATATAAATTTGATTGGATGTTTTAAAACCAATAAATTCAGTGCAAAGAAACTGACTGGCAAAGAGAAAAGAGACAAATTCTGGCCTTTGAGATTTGTGATTTGAGTACTTTAATGTTTGTAATTAACTAATTAACTGGCACCGACATAACCACAAACTTACAGCTTGAACAATTTATAATAGAAATTCTAATGAAACAACAGATCAGAATTTTAACTTTTATTTATTGAAATATATTGTAACTTGTGACTGACCAGTGTTTCTAGTTGCCCAGGTGTGCCCTTTTAGACTGACTGTTTAAACAATGAATGGCTCTCAGTGTCTACTCTTGCTTTGAGCCCTGGGTTTCACCTGCAAAGACTGCATTTGTTGTTAAAAAGAAAAAAACAACATTTAGACCAAAGAGCTGTCTATGGGAGATGTGTGAATGCTATGAAGAAAAATCCTAAAACAGGTTGTGAGGTTACTAACAACATCCATAGGGCAGGGTGAAGGTATCACAGTCCAGCATTCGAAGACTTTGAGAGCAGAAATACAGAGATGAGCACAAAAGTTTTGGAACTGAGTTTTATGGACTGATCAGACCAAAATTAACCTCTACTGAAGTGATAGAAAGGCCAACATGTGAAGAAACAAAGGAGCTGCTCATGATCTAAAACATACAAACTTATTAGTCAAGCATGCTGGAGGTAGTGTCTTAGCTTGGGCTTGCATTGCTGCCTCTGGAACAGGCTCACTAATCTTTATTGATGTTGTAACCCATGATAGTAGCAGCAGAATAAATTCAGAAGTCTGAAGGAACACTGTCTGCCAGTTTACAGAGAAATGCATCCAATCTAATCAGGAGGCCCAAAAAACACTGCCAACACAACAAAGGACTTCATCATGGAAAAAAGTGGAAGGATTTAGACTGTCCAAGTCAATCACCAGACCTTAATCGTGGAAAAGTATCACAAAAGAAGAACAGCTTGATGCAGTTATTGCAAGAAAAGGTGTCATGTTCTAATTGGAATCTAGATGTAAACATCAGGACATAAAAGCTGAAATTCTGATCTATCATCTCATATTCATCTTTTGATCTCAAACCCATATGTCTTAAGTGTAGAGCAAATAATAAAGAATTGGCCTTGCTGTTCCAATACTGTTGATGGAGACCGTATACAGAACAAGACATGACCAAACGCCAGCCGCACTGGCTACTTAATTTCTGCAGTGTTTCATACTCCAGTCCTATTGTCCTCCTGGTTTTCAATGTTATGCTTTACCTTAACAGGAATCACACCATTAGCTAATAAGCAAGTCCTTCTAGAGCTGAATTAGTGTGTTAAAGCAGGAAAACATGTACAACTCTGTAGTGCAGCTGAACTGGAGTAGAAAAACACTACTGTATACAGATAATAAAGTGCCACTGTAAATGGTGTTTGTATCTAAGATAAGCTCAAGGTCTCACAGTTAAGATAATACCCTGAACTTTTTTTTTCATTTTCTAATTTCAGGTTATCCACTGGCAGCTCATCCTGAAGTACAGCGAGGTCTGCTCATCAGATGTTTGCTCTCAATAGGCCTTCCTTGACAGGATGGATGTCGACAAACTTCAAAATTCCACTGCAAGTGGAAATACATCAGTTGTCCAGAGCGATCCACATGATCTTTGGGAGGTTATTACTATTGCTACTGTGTCAGCGGTTGTAAGTCTGATCACAATAGTGGGGAACATTCTAGTAATGCTGTCTTTTAAGGTTAACAGCCAACTGAAGACAGTCAACAACTATTACTTACTCAGTTTGGCTTTCGCAGACCTCATTATTGGAGTGTTCTCCATGAACCTTTACACTTCTTATATTCTGATGGGATATTGGTCTCTGGGAAACTTAGCATGTGATCTGTGGCTAGCTCTGGACTATGTGGCAAGCAATGCGTCAGTGATGAATTTGCTGGTGATCAGCTTTGATAGATATTTCTCCATCACAAGGCCACTTACCTACAGGGCTAAGCGAACACCAAAACGTGCAGGTATCATGATAGGCTTGGCATGGCTAGTCTCCTTCATCTTATGGGCCCCTCCAATTCTATGTTGGCAGTACTTTGTCGGTAAGAGGACAGTTCCTCCTGACCAATGCCAGATTCAGTTCTTCTCAGAACCTGTGATTACGTTTGGTACGGCTATAGCAGCCTTTTACATTCCTGTATCTATCATGACCATTTTATACTGGAGGATCTACAAGGAGACAGAGAAGCGCACGAAAGACTTAGCTGAGCTGCAAGGGCTCACGTCTGTGGACAAACATGAAAACTCCAAAGCACAAAAGCAAAGATCTTGCTTTGGCTTTAACACTGATGGACGCACCACACAGGCCTCATGGTCTTCATCCAACCAGAGCAATGTAACCAAGACTACGGCACAATCTGAGGACATGTGGGCAAAGGCAGAGCAGGCCAACACTCTCAACAGTTACACGTCCTCCGAGGATGATGAGAGGCCCGTTTCTGAAGCAACGTCTCAAGGATCCTATAAAAACCAGGAACCAGAGCCAAACGAGCTGCTGGCCTGTTACGAGGAAAGTCACTATTTCACTAATTCCATTAAGTACTGCTCCCAAAAGAACCATAAGAAATGCATCTCATACAAGTTCAAGCCAGTCATAAAGAACATGAGCCCTCATAAAGCTAGTGCTGAGGCTGAAAGGAAAACATCACATTCTTGTTCTTCATCAGAACAGTTGGCTCTTTCTTCTACATCCACTTCGAACAAGCCTATGGATCCCAACCTGAAAAACCAGATCACTAAGCGCAAAAGAATGGTTCTTATCAAGGAGAAAAAGGCAGCTCAGACCTTGAGCGCAATTCTTCTGGCCTTCATCCTTACTTGGACTCCGTATAACATCATGGTGCTCATTTCCACCTTCTGCTCCAACTGCATCCCCGTATCCCTCTGGCACCTGGGCTACTGGCTCTGCTATGTCAACAGCACCATCAATCCAATGTGCTATGCCTTATGCAACAAAACCTTTCAGAAGACCTTCCGGATGTTACTCCTTTGCAAGTGGAAGAAGAATCGTGGGGAGGAAAAACTGCACTGGTGTGGTCAAAATCCAGCAATGACCAGCAAGTTGACCTAGTAGGCAGAGACAATGAAGTTAAGGGCCAACTATGTAGGTGTTGTAGCTTTTAAAACATGTGTGTTGCTGTACATTATGTGTAGTCAGATCAAGCTATTGTGTAAATGTTCTGTACATTGCTTGAACATTCAAGATTTCTGTTGCTCTGTTGGAGAACTGTAAGGGCTTGTAATCTAATGTTTACATGAGCACATCTTATTTTGACATTGCAGTATGTTTAAAGCCAGAACGAGAAGATATATTTTCTTTTGCAATTAAACTGGAGTTCACTCTTGACATTTGTGGCAGTTCCAAAACAGATAAAACCAAATCACTGACTGAGATTTTGGTTGTAACCATTTGGAACCATCTAAAGAACAAATGAATTAGGTACTGAATGAAGTGCTGACCAATCATTACTCAATTTGTTTGTTTAAAGAAGAGGATCGAAATTCTGTATGGTGTAAGGCTGGTCACCAGACAATGGGAATGGATAATATACAGCACCGTGCATAAGTCATAGACCACACTTTATGTATTTTACCCCTTAAATGGCCAGGGCCCACCAGAGGGCCCAAAATTTTATGACACACATAACCTAAAAATAGCTCATTTTCCTGTAGTTCCTGAATAATAAGCCTTAGTATGTAATAAGCCTGGGATTTTAAGGGGTTAATTTCCAGTCAAAACAGCCATTAAGTACAAGTACAAGAAAAAGCAAAAAACATAAAATTACCCAGAAGCTTTTTTTCACTTCGTTGCCTTTTATTGCAACTTCTATTATTTTCTGGAGAATTGCTTTCAGTTTTTCAAGGAATCTGCAGGGATATTTTTCATGGAGGTTCAGTCTTAAAAGTTGGTCACCCTTTTTTTTTTTGCTTTGCATGAATTACACAATCAGACAAATCAGTCCATAAAACATTACTCCACATCACAGATGTCCAGCTGATGTTCAAGTGCAATTTTTTTTATCTGTTCCACTACACTTTCAGACCCATAGTGCTGAGTTGTCTTCTCACAGTGAAATGATTGACAGAAAAACCTGTGAAACATCCGTTCGTTAATTTACAGTACTGAACCATGAGTGGAGCTTGATTTTCTCCTGTCTTTCAAAGATGAAAACTTTAAGTACTGTTTACCTGATTTTAATTTTTTTTGGTCTACCAGGTCTTGCACGGTTGTTATGAGTCCAATTTTCTATGTATCTTCTGATTATTTTTTAAACTTTAGTTTTAAAGCCTGGTTTTTTACTTTTCTTTGACTTTCCATTTCCTTAAAAAAGTAGATTATCCTATATCTAATGTACTCATTTTGCTATTTTAAATGCACGTGAGAAAGAAATGAGCGAGGTAGCTAAGGTGAGTTTGAGTACTTACTTTGTGGATGTTAGCATCTTTGTTAGCATCTGGTAGTAGTAAGGCATAAAAAAATGTCTCAGGCATCTGGCAGCATATTCATAACCATTTCATGTAATAATTTTCTGTGAGGGAATTCTTAGAGGCATTTAACTCAACAACTGGTTCCTATCACCACAACTGTGGACAATTCTGAGTTAGTTTCTCTAGACAGGATCATTTCACACCAAACCACTCTGAATGACTTTGTTTACATCTTAAACATTTAATTATGAAATTAAATTTGAAATTAAATTCCCCTTTAACACTGAAAAGAATGTACACTTCTTTGGATGCTTTGTGTAACTTGCTGTATGTTGCTTGTGTTTTTCCTGAAACTGAAAAATGAATAACTTTTACTGAACAGCTGTTATGACTGGATATTAAATTAGCAAAAGGGTGGCCTCTGACTTTTGCACAGTACTGTAGGTTTATGTATTGTCATTTCTAGATTGTGCCTTCATCCTTAATTTAAACTCAGTGAAGCAACTTCTTTAAACACTGTTTAAATGAAGCACTATTTCAAGATGCACAACGTATATCAATGATAGAGCTGCTGTGCATGAACACATGCTATAAATGTCCAGTTTTTCTGTTTGGCTTGCTATGCCATAATTTAGGATTTAGAGTCAACTACTAATAGTACACATTTTATCCCAGCATGTTCCAAAAGCACCTCTAAAGTTGATGTTACAGGCTGTCTTGGATGTTAGGTGACAAAAATACTATTGCAAGTTATTTCTCTTTGTAACACTGGTTTATAATGTGAAATTTTATTTGATGTGTGGAATATATGTTGTTAGAATACAGGTTTTAAGCATTTGCTAATAGATATTTAAGCCATTAAAGTTTCAACATGCTTCTTTAAGTTAATGACTGATTCTTGCATGTACAACAAATAAGTGAAGAAATATACCTCCAGTCCTTTTCTTAGACTTCATAATACAGCAACTTGGAGAATAAATGTACAATCACAGTGTTTACCCATAACATAAATATAATTTAATAATCTGTTCATTCATTTTCACACATGAATAGTAGTGACAGTCTCACCCTATTTCAATAAAATGTTCATTTTGAAACTTAGCCACATCATCAGAAACATCAGAAAGAATATTTTTAGTGAAAACTGACTACAACTGACAGCCATTAAACTGTAGTTCCAGCTGCTTCATACACATACACTATGTCCGAACAGTGTTTGTCTCCATACACCTCCTTCACTTAGTGAATTCAAAGGTGAACCCATTGCTCTGGAGCAGCCACGTACACCAGGCAGGCATAACATTATGACCTCCTCCTTGTTTCTACACACATTGTCCATTTTATCAGCTCCACTTACTATATAGGCGCACTCTGTAGTTCTACAATTACAGACTGTAGTCCATCTGTTTCTCTGCATACTTTGTTAGCCCCCTTTTACCCTGTTCTTCAGTGGTCAGGACCCCCATGGACCCTCACAGAGCAGGTACTATTTGGGTGGTGGATCATTCTCAGCACTGCAGTAACACTGATGTGGTGGTGGTGTGTTAGTGTGTGTTGCGCTGGTCTGAGTGGATCAGACACAGCAGTGCTGCTGGAGTTTTTAAACACCTCGGTGTCACAGCTGGACTGAGAATAGTCCACCAACCAAAAATATCCAGCCAATAGCGTCCTGTGGGCAGCGTCCTGTGACCACTGATGAAGGACAAGAGGATGACCAATACACAAACTGTGCAGCAGCAGATGAGCTATCGCCTCTGACTTTACATCTACAAGGTGGACTGACAAGGTAGGAATGTCTAATAGAGTGGACAGTGAGTGGACACAGTGTTTAAATACTTCAGCAGCACTGCTGTGTCTGATCCACTCCTACCAACACAACACACACTAACACACCACCACCACGTCAGTGTCACTGCAGTGCTGAGAATGATCCACTATCCAAATAGTACCTGCTCTGTAAGGGTCCATGGGGGTCCTGACCACTGAAGAACAAGGTAAAAGGGGGCTAACAAAGTATGCAGAGTAACAGATGGACTACAGTCCGTAATTGTAGAACTACAAAGTGCACCTGTATAGTAAGTGGAGCTGATAAAATGGACAATGAGCGTAGAAACAAGGAGGTGGTCATAACGTTATGTCTGATTGGCGTATAAGCCTATAGTTACCTTGCCCAACACCAAGCATCAGTCAGAGGGGTATAAAGCCCCCAAGCACTGGGCGGTGGAGCAGTGGAATGGCATTCTCTGGAGAAATGGAGCTCCTTTCAATACTGTTGGGATGGGCTGGAGTGGTGTTTATGATCCAGAACTAATTATCCAATATCAGTACCTGACCTCACTAATGCTCTTGTGGCTGAATGCAATCAGATCCTCACAGCTACCCAGTAGTCCAGGATCAGGCTTAATCACAGGAAACTGCGCACATATGCAATGGCAATACATTTCTACACATAACTTCATATACATAGTCCTCATATAGCACAGAGGAGACCTTCACCACCACCAACTCAGAAAAATAAACAAACAAGTCACGGAAAATGTCCATCACAATTTATTACCATTCAGTTTAAATATGTTTATATTTCTTAGCTAAAACTTTTATGCATTTATCATCTCCATTCACAGTCATGTACAAATTCAACAGAATATCAAGGAATATTTCAACGTAAAAGCTCTGCTTCAAGTAGTTGTGAAAATTGGGTTGGGGTCAACTTGACAATCACTTTAGGCTGAACTGTAGAACGGAACTGAAACCCTGAAGGTCCACAAACCATTACACATTTCAACCAGTTTTACCCTGAGCTCCAGCTCCGACGGGACCGAAACTGCATTGGCCTCAACCCTAAAGAGGATCTGTTTTAGGAATCTCAGCTGCAGCAGCAATAAAAGCATACATTACCGTCTTAAGGACATTGAGAAATATAAATCTTGGTCCAACCGACCCATAATAGAATGAAATTAGCTGTACTTTTACTGGTGCCTCTTAAAATTGTTTTAAATGTTATTTTTCTATCACCTACGCATTCCAGGAGGTGCAACACCCACAAATATATTAAATGTTACATGTGGTGGTATATCATTCAATTAAAAAAGAAAAAGAACAAAAAAGATATTGATGAACTGGACAATACAAACATTACACATAGCCCTGACAAATCAAGCTGGTTACCCCTTTGAGTTAGCCTAGGTTATGATCTTAAGAGACTGTAGATGAAAAATAAAAGAATTTATTTGAAACACAGGTCACAAAACAGGAACAGCTACAGGAAAACAGAAAAAAAAAATCCTCTTCAGTTCATAGCACTACCTCCTTTTCAGAGCAGCATTCCTGCTGCCTTTGCTGCCTCCACCTGGCTTGCTGGATCCCTTGGAGAAGAGTTTGGTCATAAATTCGGAGACATCTGGCAATTCCGGATTGGGGTTTAACATGTTCATGGACTGTTCCATTTCCTGTAAAATGTCGTGGTTTTATTAACAAAAAGGGGTACAAAGAGGGGTTTAAGGTACAAAATCGGTTTTGTGGATCATTGTTTGACATTACAGAAATAATATATTCTTCCATAACCTCCAGCACCCTGACTATTATAGGAAGGAAAGGAACTTACCTGCTCAAGAATTATTGCCAATGTTCATGTATTTGCCA